AAAAGAAATCCCAGGATTTTTCTAGGATGAGCGCATACTGTACAGGTTGCCATTGATTCAATCACTATTACAGTAGCTCATTACACTTCCATAATTTACTTTTTCAAGTATGCAGCTATTGGTTCATTCTCTCCTGATAGTACTTTATACCAAAAACATGGAAGGTGTAATCTTGATGGACCATTCTACACCAAATGCTCTAGAAAGGGCATAAGAGCTCAGAACATTTTGGTAATTGGCTTTAACAGAATAAAATGCCACCAACCTGTAAAGATTTCCTAGGGTGTATAACTTTTCAAGGCTCTTGACCAATCTCCTCAACCCTCTCAGAATTTCCCATTGCAAGGCCCTTGATCAGACCCAACACCCCTAAGGCCCTAATGTCTTTCTCTTTGGAGGTGAATACAAAAAAGAAGGCCTGCCTGGACTCTCTCAACCTTCATGTGCTTTTTACGTAAGAAAGGTTCCAATTCACTTTCCATTTACTAAGCTCCTACATCTGTTGCTAGTTTTGGGGGCAATTCTTTTCTTTACTTAGTGCCAGGTGGACTCCACCACAAGACATGCATACACACTTCCAATTTTTTTCTCCCCAAGAAGGAAAAGATGACTGGTCCTTTATGAGTACATTTGTGAAGCCATTTTATGGATAGTGTGGGAAGAACACAATGCTAGAATTTTTTCAAGCAAAAAGCAATCACAGTAAGCAATGAGGACTATTACTTTAAAAGTCATGCATTGGGCAAAATACAAAGATACATTTTTTCTATGTTCACTATAGATGATACACTTCATGGGTGGACCGTGGTGGCAGCTACTTCTACTAGAAGGGAGAGAAGGAAGGCAGTTTGGGCTCAACAAGCATGTGACCAAGCTGGGTTTTCTCTCTTTTTTTTCTGAAAAAAAGTGAAGTATACTTCATTAACTATATAGCAAAACCAGTCATAAAAGATTGTGGTTCTTCTGGAAACGAGGGGTTGAAATTGCAATGGTGTACTTATGCCCAACAGAAACCTTGAGCTTTACTCTAAGGGCTAAGATTGGCCAAATCTCTAGGTTATTGGAGATTAATTGTTGAAGGAGACTCAAACACAATCATCAGCTGGATGAAAGAGACTGCTGGACCTTGGCAAGTAAAACATTTAGTCACAGAAGCTACATATCACACATCCATCACTGATGTAAACTTCCCCTGGATTCCACTGTCTGCAAATTCACGAGCTGGTTCTCTAGTAAAGAAAGGACTCAGTAGTAAGTAGACAGAACCTAATGTCAGAATCCTGCCCATCAGATTAAATTAGAGAGTACCACAACACTAACGACAGAATCCTGCCCATCATCCATTGGATTGTTTATAAATTAGAGACTACCACAACACCAACACCATATTCTTTGTGCAAAAGAAAGACCTGTTTTACCATCAATCTTCTTAAACAATTCTTTGTTCATTATTAATAAAATTAATTACCAGTTAACAACCAAAGAATGTAACAGGATGACAGATCTCAAAGGTTCATCAATGCATAAACAGTGGGGCAAACAGAACTCGGTATCCCAACACATGATGCTACCAATATCAACTTTGATGGCAGTCACTACAAAACCCAAGTGCCACAGCAAGGAGAGGTCATGGGTGAGATTATTGTGGTCCACATGTATCCAATAAAAAGAGAACTTCTTTCAGAGCCAAAATACTATAACTTCTTTGGAATCTCAAGCTTATAGATTCCTTTTTCTTTGAGAGGGTTGAGATGGAAGGGGGTTCCAACACCATTACAGGCAGGATGCACAATTTTTTTATCAGTAACCGAAAATTTAATAATTAATTGAAAGGTGAACATGTACAACAAGGGTAGCCTCAGTTACCAACCTGTAAACAACACTATGATCCCAAGAAACCTTTTGTTTTTTATCTTATAACTGAGTCCAGAAGTAATTTTCCCTAGTGACCCCTTGTTTTGCTAACTGATCCACTAGACTGTTAGCCAATCTTGGAGTCCACTGAAAAACCATTTAAATGCCTCTTGAAAACCTCTTAACCTTTTTTAATCTCTTTTCTGAAATACCAAGGAACCTGCTCATTCTGCTTCAACCAGCTGATAATTACTTGGAGTCCCCTTCGGTTACCATCTTTCTCACTGCCAACTCCATTGCCTTTTGCAACACAAAAACCACTGCTGACAGTTCTGCTTTTATAGTCACCCAGTCCACTAGGGCCTGAAAACAGCCCCACTATTTCCCCGTTTTCATTTCTTATTACCCCTCCCATTCCAGAAGGACCAGGATTACCAAAGCTGCTTCCATTAAAATTCAGCTTAAGAAAACCCAAATCAGGAGAATGCCAATCCCTTATGATTTTCTTCTTGGAGGAAGGTAGATCTGCAAGTTCCCCAATTCCTTATTAGACCATCAAAGGTAATATCTGAAACCAAACTCAATGACTTTACCCAAAGTGCCACCTTTGCCATAATCCCTTCTATCAGTGAACATTCCAAGCCCAAGGACAATTTATGTATTGACTAATAGCATGGGTAGGGTTACTAGTAACAGAAAGCTGCTTTATTAGGGCTAGGATGTAGAAAGATAATTGTTGCACCAATTTATTTATGTGATATTCAGCTAGCCACATGGGTTTCCTGGTTCCTACTGCCTCTCCTTTGGAGTAGACCTTCTACTTGGGTTCCTTTATTTCCTTCTAATAGAACTTCCATTATCAATTGTATAAAAAATATGCTTACGACAAAATACAAAGTAGTATAGTAATGATACAACAATAAAGTTCAAAGAGAGAAAAAGTTGGAAACAAGACCTGCAAAAATACATAGATAATGCTTCAATTAGTTTAGCATTATCACCCTTCCCATATAGGTGTTTCCTCCTTTCAATTTCAAGATTTGCCAAGTGAAGACCTCTTATAGAATCGTAGCCCACCTGCACTTGTAACTTTTGTACAAGACAGGATGCTTGGGATATGCGCAAGTCAAACTGCAGTCCCAATTTTCACAAATTAAACTCCATGCTGAGAAACTACAGCAAGTTTGTTATTTAACACATATGTGCATGGAAGGAAGTATAAAGCAACACAACAACAGCAGCCATGACACAAGTTGTAAACATGTACCACTTCATCTGTCAGGTGAAACAACTTGCAATCAACAGATTTTGGTGGATGGATTATATCATTGATAGAACCACTGCACCAGCTGCTGTCATCCTCCAACAAACAGCCCAAATAGTGTAGGAAACACTCCCAATCATCAGGGCTGCAAAGAGAAAATAAAATTAAGCATGGAAGCAAATGCAACATCTAAGCATGAAATTCTCCACAATTTCACCGCAATGGGAAACACAAACATTTTCTGAATACAGATGCTGATTAACTAAAACTAACAACTTTTTCTTATTATTAATTTATTTTTGAGAGAAAAAGTTAACTATTGAACTGGTTATATTAAAAAAGGAGAAAGGTACATGAGGAGATGTACATACTACAGCTAAACCAACAGAAGAAAATTACAGAGGCAGATTTCTTTCACTGTACATAATTTCCCTAAAGGTACCCGATTTAGCTAAACCATCAGCTGTAGAATTTATTTCTCAGGGAATCCAGATTAGATACAATTGTAAACAATACCAGCTAAGTAGAACAGAAGATACAATTCCCACAATGATCAATTCATGGGTAAAAGTTAACAGAGATAAGGGGATCCAAACTCCAAACGCATACACACTGAGAGTAGGAACAACAGTCTGAAATTTTCACAAAAGTGAACTTTCAAATAAAGGACAAGAATAAAATCCATCCATTCAGTAGTACAGCATTTGACCTCTTACACCAGAGATCCAAGTTGATACCATGCACAGCATTGTATTTGTGGACTTAAGCCCGGTACCAACAGCACCAGCCTAGGAACTTGATGGCCAAGCTAGCGGTTGAGAGCCCTGCTCAGTAACTTATATCCAAGCAGAAGTTATAAAAGAGCAACAGGCCATGCCACAGTAATTTCCATAGCCTATTCATTAATTGATAAGGCAAGCAAAACAGAACTTGGCAGAAAAGGAGATTAAGAGAAACATTTCTATACCTGTCCCTTGAAGATATTCAAAACAACTTGACTGCAATCAAGTTTTGAAGTCTCCAAGAATTTAAAAAAATGGGGAAAAAGCATGAAATATCAAGCTTCAAGGTTTCAAACATTAAAAATTCTCTACATCAATATTCAACAGAACAGACCAAAGTTATCATCAGAAAAACATTTGCACAGATGCTCATCCCAAGTACATATTGGAACACAGCCTAAATGACCCAAGAATCTTTCATGTTGTAAATTAGTTTGGAACAGCCTAACCTTCCAAATTTTGATGGTCATTTTAGACCAAAGGTCTTTTAAAATTATTACAAAATCATTTTTTGGATCCTCTGGTTGTTATAATTAGTTAATAATTATTTTTCATTTGCCTTCGGTGGTTGTGTAAGGATTAAGCAAACTACTAGGGAGATTTTAGTATTTGTTGCAAAAGTACTTGGAGGTTTAAGTGTTTACCCCTGAAACATAATGAAATCTTGCCAAATTTTATCAATAAAGGTCACACTTAATGGTAAAATACTATCAGTCTATTTTCTCCACTTAAAAATTAGTTTTTTCTTTTTTGCCTTTTTTTATATGAAACAGTAACTTTCATTAAATAGAAAATCAGGAATTACAAACTGTCACCTACAGAAGGACAAGGTGACCCCTGAAACAAAAATCATGTTACAAGACAGCGCAAAACAAAGACTCTCAATTCACCCCTTGCTTTGCTGGTAAGTCAGCTAAAGCATTTGCTAACATCCTAGTCCAATTAACAACTAAACCCAACTCCCTTGTAAGGCTTAATAATTCTCTTATAGCTTGTCTTAGGGACCAAGTTCCCAGACTATTTGTTTGCACCCACCCTACTACTAACTTTGAGTCTCCCTCCACTTCTAGCTGTTGCATACTCAATTGCTTAGCCAATCTGAGACCCTGAAGGAGGGCCAACACTTCTGCTCTAAGCGAGTCCCCCACACCTATTGGACCGGAGTACATAGCTAAGATTCTTCCTCCCCCATCTCTAAACACACCCCCAATTCCAGATGGTCCAGGGTTCCCCACAGAAGTGCTTGTAAGGTACAACAAGCATCTGTACAGAAGTGCTTGTAAGGTACAACAAGATACTGAAGACCCTGCTATTATACTCCGTCCTCTAGTCAAGTCATCTGTACAGAAGTGCTTGAACAAATCTAGAGTTTTCAGCCAATGTATAGTCTTGATGGTGATCCCTTCAATAAGTTCAGGAGCTAATTTACATTAAAACAAAATTAGATGGACCAAAAAGCAATATGAAGGAAATAATAGCTGGAGTATTTCTTTGTAAAAATTTTTATACTCATTTTACAAAAGAACAAACATAGCATTATTTACAACTTTGAGTCGATTTAAGTTAGAGAACCCTTGGACTGGCCCAGATTTACCCAAAGCCAGTGTAGGGCCCAATTGGGAGAACTCAATGTCTGATTGAGCTGCTTTAGTTGATCTGCTTTGAAGAAGCCATTAAAAGAAGCTACTATGGAGAGACATGTAGATTAGGGGTTACCACAGGTCAAACCATTTTTAACACCTATGATTAAGAGCATAGCTCAGATCTACAACCTTAAATGTATTTTATGCATTATATATAATATTTTGTATTATATAATACATATAACACTACCAAGTTTCAATTACTTGTCTTTGTTACATGGATTCTGATAAGGATGTATAAGATATATGATACAAAGCCTTAGAGGGAAACAAGAAACCAGGGTGTGAACCCATCAGGCCCTGGGGCCTTGTCTCCCACTAAATACATATATATATAGTATGTATAAGATATATGGTACAAAGCAAATAGGATGTATACCTACCACAAAAACAGAATTGTGAACCTATCAGGCCCCGGGGCCTTGTCTGCCTCTAAATACACATATATAGTATGTATAAGATATATAATACAAAGCAAATATGATATATTCCTACCAATGACAAATCAGTAATCCCATTAACATACCATGATTCCAAAACTTTCTGGAATATCTCTGCAGCAGCAGAATAGTCACAGGCACGAGCTAGAAGCCTCCCCTGTCAACTTAAAGTCAAACATTACAAAGCAAGCAGATAACTTAGAACCATGAATTATAATTTAGTCCCAGAAATAGTATCTTAATAACAAAGAAAAAGAAAATCATGTCAAACCAAACTTTTTTAGTAAATCATATAATTATAATATAGACCCATTAAGACAATAGATATTCTAAGGAAAAAACTGGAAGGCAAAGAAAAACCCCTTAAGCTCATCAATGAAATATATATTTTAATCTGTAATATATAATATAGATAAATTCAGCGACCAGTAATGCACATGATGATTCTCAACTAAATGGCATTAGAGGTGCTTTGCCAAAAAAAAAAAACAAAAAGGAGAAGAAAAAAGGGTCTATATTCTATTTTTGGGTTTTCTTGATCACATTTTGAGGTTCTATCAGAAAGAAATTTGGGTTTTACTCTGTTTTCTGGGTAATGCCAGCTGTTGGCCATGAAAAACATTTAGATAAAAGTCATAAACAAGGTTTAAAACATCAATACAATACGCCCCATATCGAACGTATCGTATTGGTATTGATACACACGGATACAAGATACACTACGAAAAGAAGTGTATCCCTTGAGTCAAGCATATTGAATCGATATGCTTCTGTATTGTCCCGTATTCTGTCRCATTGACCGATACGCAACGAAATGGCACAATACAAACCAATACATACACGCCTGTGTGTCACATCTCTCATTTAAAAAAAAAATACTGTGGCTAACAGAATGCGAACTCAGGTCACATAACGCTCAAAGTCTTATGCTAACTTGTACCACTAAGCCTTCCTCTATTTCATGATAATAAATGAAATAAGATAATGTTATTAACTTAGCATCCACATGCAATCCAAAGTTCAAACAAATAGCATATGTCAATGTTCAACAACTTCAATGAAAAACTAAAAAGAACAATATTCAAAATTGATATTTTATATACTAATAGAATAAATAAGCTATCAAAATCACATTTATATCAAAAAATGGCTTTTAATATCAATAAATTTATACAAAAATATTAATAATAAAATTATATTGGTACTTAAAATTTATAAATTTACACATGACAAGAATCATAAAATATTTATATACATTTATAAACTATTGATTATTATTTAAATTTACATTAAATAACAACATATTCATTATCTAAAAAATATTGCTTATAAAATATTTGAGAAAATAATATTAAGTTCAGTTTATGAAATCCACTAATCTACACTTATATCAAAAAAGATTTTTTTTATTTCAGAAAAACTATAGAATAAAAGTATTGATAATGAAATAATTATTTTATATAATTAAAATTTATGAATTTACATATAATATGTATATTACAAATTTTAACAGATTTAATATATTTTAAGTTTAGATTATATATTTCTATAAATTATTAATTAATATTATAAGTTGTAATTTATATTTAGTTGAGTTTTTGTTAATGTTAAAAAGTGAAAATAGTAAAATATAATATAATTGATATAATAATTAAAATACACTAGTTGTATATGTTTTATGTCTTGGACTTAAATAGAAAATAGCATAATAATGGTTTTTTGTATGTCTTAATTTGTAAAAGTTTATATAATATGTATCTTGGACTCTTGATTGATGCATTGTCAATTTCTATGCATCCCGCTGTATTAATTGTACTATATTTATCCGTATATACATTTCATATGTACTTATGTATTCATCATTCATTGCCATTTTGACCATAAATTTAGTGTTATTAATGTATTTATAGAATTTGTATGTATTTCAGTAGTGTATCCAAGCATTTCCATAGAATTAATATTATAAGTTGTATTTTATATTTAGTTGAGTTTTTGTTAATGTTAAAAAGTGAAAATAGTAAAATATAATATAATTGATATAATAATTAAAATACACTAGTTGTATATGTTTTATGTCTTGGACTTGAATAGAAAATAGCATAATAATGGTTTTTGTATGTCTTAATTTGTAAAAGTTTATATAATATGTATCTTGGACTCTTGATTGATGCATTGTCAATTTCTATGCATCCCACTGTATTAATTGTACTATATTTATCCGTATATACCATTAAAAATATACATTTCATATGTACTTATGCATTCATCATTCATTGCCATTTTGACCATAAATTTAGTGTTATTAATGTATTTATAGAATTTGTATGTATTTCCGTAGTGTATCCAAGCATTTCCATTTTTTTCATTTGTATCCATGCATTTCCAAAGCATATCCGTATCCAAATATCCAATATCGATATTTTGATCCTGGCCATAAATAGTGAAAAAAAAAATTGATCAATATAAATAGTGAAAAAATTAATTAGAGAGTTATTAGTTTTTCGGAAAACTGAGGTTATAGGCTCATGACTCATCACATCTCTTGCAGTTTGTTTTTTAGGGTGAAATTTTACCCGTGTAGCTTGACGTTAGTGTTGACAGGAAAATTAATCTAACTATTCAAATTTAGCAAGATCACATGAACTGAATGCTATATGTGATTCTACAAATTACATGTTATCAATTAAAGAGATTCAGTTAATCAGGTATTTCCATCTAATTGGAGATACCTAAACATAAGTACTTACTAATAAAAAGTTGTTTTACAAACAGAATTAACACAAGCTATCTTATTTTTAGAATCCAATTCAATACTGAGGCCGTGTTTGATAACTCTTTCCAGAGGTCTGAAGTCTGAAATACCTGCTTTTCAAATGTCCGGCTCATTTGGTATTGCATCTGAAAGGGCGATCTGAAATGCTTTTTCAGATCTGAAAAGGTAAGACGCAGGCCCGGCCCTTAATGCACTCAGACACGTTTTAGACGTGGCCTAAAGTCGAAAATGCCCCAACATTATTTGGAAAAGACGTGTTACGCCCCTGTTTTAAACCCAACCCTAAAACATCTGTGTTCTTCTCGTTTTGCTATTTTGTGGTTGCAAATGCAAGCTCTCACCTTGCTTTACCGTTTTCTCGATTTTTAGGGTTTCAAATCAGACACCTATCCAGCAGTGAAGCAGCGGCAAAGGAGAGTTATTCTTCATCGTTTTTATTCCTCTGTTTTCGGTTTGGTTTTATTCTTCATCCTATTAAGTAATACGTCTTGGGTTGCTAATAGAAAACAACTTTGAATCCTTAGGCATAAGGATATTGTATTGCAGGGTTTTTGAACTTATCATTTTCCACATTTTTTTCTCCATTGTTGTGATGCCATTAATTTGCATTGTGTTCCTTATCTTATTCGACAGAGTTAGGCTCCTAATGGGTTCCTAATCCCATTTCAAAAATAACCGCATGATCTTGGGAAGCTCATCCCATGAACATGGCTGAATCTTTGAATTGCGGAGTTCCTAGTAATTAGTAATTATTAATTTTGTTAGCTTTTATTAAAAAAATATATAAATAATTATTAATTATTAATAAGTGCTATTTATTTTAATATTTGTATTAGTTGTTAAGTATGTTTTTTAATTTTTATTTATCTTAATTATTAATTTCATTATTTTTATTAATTTTCATTTGTGTTATTTATTAATTATTAATTATTTTATATATTATTAATTATTAATTACTATACTAATTTCTATTCATATTATTTCAATATTATTTTGAATTTGATAAATTCTTTTTTATGGGATAGTGCAAATTGAACTCAAAATTACAAAATAGTCTGTTTTGGGGGTAAAATAGCAAAATCAAGGAATTTCAGATGCTGAAGGTTTGATCCAACACAAACAACCTCATCTATTCAGGGCCTCTAAAAAGTAGAAAAGCATACTTTTCAGATTTCAGATTTATCAAACACCACCACCTGAGTGTCTTCATGGGTTACATATGGGTCCCTCTTAGTTTTTCTTTTCCCTACAAGTGACAAGATCTAATTGATCATTGTAACAATATATCACATATTAAGGAGGAGTCAGTTCTTAGAGCAGTTAGGTTGTGTTTCTGGTCAATTCTTGTATCCCAAGATTAGCTAAACTAACAGCTGCCTTGCTTCCCAAAGTTAGAGAGAATAATTACAGTTAGTTGTTACACCTTTCTCCAGGTCTAGGAATGCAATCTGCACTAGTGTGTATCGTTTTTTCCCAAAATAAGCATTTCATTATTCACCAAAGAAAAACATACGAAGTTCTTTGTTAATCCAGGTAATAATAATAACGAGAGAGAGAGAAATAGCATAGATTTTTCCTTGTAATAACAACTTAGCCTAGAGTAATTATAAAACAGCATTAAAATTTGGGACAAAAGAATACAGGTGGGTTCCAGAAAGTACCTGCATACGTAGCCTATCAACTTCAATTGATAGAAGAGATCCCAATTTTCCAGACAGAATTTCATTAGCAGCCCCATACTTGGCTTGTTGCTCCAAAACGGAGATATAAACAAGAAGGGCTGCAACAGATTCCAGCTGCTTATAGAAAATAACAACTGAAAAGGCAGGTAACATGCATGCATGAATGTTCGTGATAAACTGGTGAATTGAAAATAAAGAGCAAACCTTCTGGTTCATGCAAGCTATGAGAGGCAACATGCTTCTTAAGCAAACCTTCTGCTAAGACTAACAACTTCCCTCCCCCATCACCACAGAATACCTAGAAGACTCCAAAAAACCAGAAAAAAAAATAAGAAAGAGTTATAAAGATCTTTTTTAAAAAAAGAAAGTATTTCAATGACAAAAGGAAATGTCTTTGTTGTGTAGGATAGGGTACAAGTGCAGAGGAATAACTATTTAGAGACTTAGGCAATTTAAGAATCATCAACCCACATACTTATCTCAATAAGTATGAAAGAATGTATCAGGGTTTTTTAGTTTTCTTATAATTATTTTAAAATAGGCCCCTTATAATTAAATTAACTCCTATCATGTAATAATTTTTTTATAGGAAATGGTAACTTTCAGTAGTTAAAAACTACAAGTACAACTGTCACCTACTAGAGTGAAAGGTGACCCCTGAACAAAAACAACTTACAACACTGCCCAAAACAAAACCTCCCAATTCACCCCTTGCTTTGCTAGGTTGTCAGCTAAAGCATTTGCTGACCTCCTAGGCCAATAAACTTGTGCACCCAACTCCCTTGTGAGGCTCAATAATTCCCTTACAGGTTGTCTAAGGGACCACGTTCCCAAACTATTTGATTGCAGCCAACACACTACTAATTTTGAATCTCCCACCACTTCTAGCTTTTGAAAGCCCAATTGCTTAGCCAATCTGAGCCCCTGGAGGAGAGTGAACACTTCAGCTCTAAGCGAGTCCCCCAAACCTATTGGACCAGAATACATAGCCGGGATTTTGAGAAGCCAAGCGACTGACTTGATACCAATGTATATAACTAATGAGGAATTTTCTATATGTTCTTATATTATTAGATGTGGATTACTTGCGTGTGTATTCCTTTTTCATCCCCTTTTGATAAATATATTAAATATTATTAGCTGGATAAGGGTAATCTACAACAATAGCAACTTAGTTAGGAGCTCAAAAAGAGCCTCTATGTTCCCCTCCCCCTCCCTCCCTTTAATTCATGAAAAAGAACTTTCTTGAACTAACATCCATTCATGGAGGAAAAAAAGTTACCAGTGTTCAAAATAAATCCTCTATATGGGCAACTATTATGTTGAAAAAAATATGTATTTAAAAGCTATTATCGATGGGGAAAATCTCCAAATTCAAAGCTGGCTATTACGCTTGTAGACTGAAAAATTGTGCAGATGACCAATCCAATGGTTCAGCTATCTGGCAGACAGTATGGAATTGGCCATGAGATTCCTCCCCATAGCAAACAAAGGTGAGGTCATGTATTAGGAAAGCTAACTACTACATTCAATTAGGAGCACTTTCACAAATCAACTCAACTCAACACATTAAGAAAGTTCTCATGAATACATACATTTATACATGCTGAAAAAGATAATGGATGGCTTTCTTTCATTGCAAAAGATTATAAAAGTTAGCACCAATATATAAATAAATACATATAAAAGATTATAAAAGTTGCATTGCAAGTGATTTTCAATTCATTTTGTTAATTAAATACAACATTAAAGTCATTTTGATCCATTTTATTAATAATATATAATAGTTAATTATTTTAAATTTCGAATATCAACGAATCAATTTTGGGTTTTCCTATCATCCGTTTGCAGCCCTGCCCCAAAAAATAAAGTCTTCTTCATGTTTCAGTAATACCTCACACAACAGAATGCAAAATGTGCTGTGGCCATATCAAATTAAATCACCCGCAGTGTGGTGCACCCAAATCATTTTTGGGCATGTCAACAGGATGCAGTTCAGTTGCATGGTTTGGGCAACATATTCATAGTATCCTGTCACCTAGGTGTGCCTTTTAAACTACTGGGACAATGCAACAGAAATGCATCCTGTTGAATGATCTTTTATACGTTATTTTGCATTAAGAATAGGTGTGGAACATTCTTTGTCTACAATAATATCTGTTTGGACTTGTTGAAGATTTCAGAAAAAAGCAATCAAAGCATTCAAAAAATTAGAAAAAAAAAAGGGGGCAGTCTTACCCCTGCACATACAGAGAGGCTGTTTCCAGGATTCGAACCCTGGTCACCCAGGTCACAATGGAGCAACCCAACCATTGCATCAAGGCCCACCCTCATTCAAAAAATTAGAAAAAGAAAACACATAACTGCTCAATGTCTCACCAGTTTTTCTCACATTTGAAGATGTCATATTCCTTATTGAACTTTTTTTATCAAGTCAAAAAAATTATTAAGCCAAAGAAGAATACTCTTGCCAGTAAATGGTTTTGCTGATATAAACAATCCTCTTCACGTGGCAAATTCTGTGGCCACAAAGGAAAATAAATTCCTTTTGAATCCAAATGCAACATTCTAAATAATTTAACTATTGAGCAGAAAGCAATAAACAGCCTATGGTATGATCAGCAGGTTAATAATAATAATTTGCAGAAAAGGAAAAAAATAATGAATAAGAGAAGGAAAACCTGTAACTGGATGCTACAAACAGCCCAGAGCAGAAACCTTTCTTCACCAACAAGTTTGTACATTTTGATGGCTGTCTGCAATAATAACAACAGTAAACATGACAGCATTATACATATGTGCACCATGTTCCTCTTTCTGGCCACTAAGAGAGGAAAAACATTTTTTTGAAAAGTAAAATGAAATTTTCTTCAAAAAGAAAAGAAGAATGCAAAAGAAAGGTGACATAGAACCTCCACCAACTACAAGACTCAATTAAAAAGGAAGGATAACACCTCTAGGATCATAACAGACAGCTTCACTAGTGAAGCAACTGTGACACGAGCACAAACAAGCCTAGCGGAGCCAGGGCCCTAATCCTCCCCATCAAACAACTTCTCTTGACTGTTGTCATCTCCCACCTCTGTTTTCCTTTTTCTTCAAAGTTCAACTCATCGAAGGCTTTCCTAGCAAATTCCTCGCCACCCCAGAAGAATATACCCAGGCTTTTGCCAATCTCTACATCTTTTTTAGCCGCTTCCTCAATGGATATACCTCTGGTTTTCTCCACCTTCCTCTCGATGTTTTTATCAAACTCTTTCTGTAGATTCAGAATTGTTCTCTAATGCTTCTTCCTGCTGTCAAGTCCCCAAATGATTACCCTGGTTAGAATCAATCCAGGAACCCTTGCCAACAGCATCTTCAATTGCCAACCTTGTAAGACTACTGCCCCTACTCTTATATACCATACCTTCTTGCAGTTCTTTGTAGGACCAGTCCCAACCTAACCACATTTTAGTCAAGAAAAAGTTTTGGTGACGTGAACAGTATGAGAATATCTTACTCCAGGTACTCCTTGGGATTTTTTGGAGTTCACTGATTCAGCCATGTCTGAAACATTCTTAGCCCCCTCCTACCCAAATCCACACCTATCTTTCCAATCACCACCTCCTCGAAGTGATGATGATCATCCACTACGCTTTCGATTTGGGGCAAGACACAATGGTTCTCACCAACAATTCCACTTTCATCAACGCCAATAACATGATCACCTCCTAAATCAGCATCAACGGGGTCTCTTAAATCCACCTCCCTCTCCTTCAAACCATTCTCATCTTCTTTATGAATCTCATTTGCACCACTCAAACCTTCCTCACCGTAGGGTTAGAATCCGAAGGCGACTTACCATCAAGCACCTTTTGATTCACAACTTCAACACCCTTCATAGGAGCGCCCCTGTTCTGAGCACAGCAAGCAAGAACTTCCATGCTATTCTTAAGACTTTGACCTATATCACAATTAGCAGGAACCTTCCCAAAATTCTTGGTAGTTTTTTCCTTTTATTGCCTCTGAGAATCTCTCGTTCCCCTCTTAGCTCTTTCCCTTTTCAAGCCTTATCCCAAATAGATCTGCTCGATCCCTTCCCACTAATAGTCTTTGAATGTTTTAAGTTCACTACATGCTTTCTATCGACCCCTAGCCTAAGAGGGACAACATTCTTCCTGCTTTTTGTTAGAGACTTTGGAGGGAGGGCCCTAGAACCATTCCCATTCCCATCACAGGACACCACTTCTATACACGACGAAGGAAACTTTTCATCTCCCTCGTAAGACCCCATTCCTTTTTCCTCTTGGCATGCAAGGTGCCCCACATCCCCTATCCTTATTGTGTCATCAATAGTCATTAATTCATGCAGGTGGTATGCCCCAACCTTTTCTTTAGCTGACCTCGGGTGGGCCCCACACCTTCCTCCCTTTCTCAAGCCCCTACTCTCCCCTCTTTACCTTCCCAAAGTCTCAAGAGTTCAGTAAGCCCATAATATCAACCCCACTATTAACATTTACTCTATTGATTTTTTAATTCCCAAACTGCCCCCATATTCAACCTCCTGCATTTCCTCTACAACCAGCCCGTTCGACTTCCTGTTCGAACCAGCCAATGACTGAAAACCATTATCCTCCTTCCCAGAAAGCAAGAACCAACCACCAAGATAAGTTCCTTCTACCACCACTCTTAGATCAAAAAATTCATCGCCAAATTGAAGTAGAGAGGCCACTAGGACAAGATGAACTTCCTTCACCTCAATTAAAATCCGCACACAAACTAAGTTCTTCCACTCAATGGTTCTTGAATCTCTGAACCTAAACTTCTCACATGCATCTCAAATATCTCTAAATATTTGAAAGCACCAGGCATACAAAGAAATGCCAAAAACGTTTATCCAGACGAAGCTCGATGACCCCATGTTTCTCAACGCTTCAACTAGAGGATTCCATCTCCCCGGCCTTAAATCTAGAAGCCTTATTTGATCTTGTTCACAATCTAGGATGTCGAGAGCTTCCTTCTCACTGCTAAGGGAAAAAAGAAAGAACCCTGCACTAAGTCTCCTCACCTGAAAGGACCTACTTGGTTTCCATTTACCATTACCCAAGCCCACACTTCTTCCACGTCTAGTTCAGAATTTACAAAACATCCAACCAAGCATTTGTTTAACAGCTTAAGCCTACCAAAAGTTCCTCCAATTGAGCTAACAACAACCTCTTTCATGGCCTAGACCTTGCCAAGAGACCAATATTTAACAGATTAGTGGGGATGCTCCATGTCCAACCAAGCATTTGTCCTCAATGGACACTCAAGAAGATGAACTTGATATTGTACAATTTTGCAGTAAAAAGGAAGTGAGGAATGCACCTTCCTCAATGGACACTCAAGAGAGGAAAAACTTGTGGAAATGCACAAGAGTGGCATTCAAGAAGCGAGGAATGCAAGAATGTTCATGTCAAGGAACAATAGAGTGATATTCTTAAAGAGTTGATAACAGTGACGGTAGCATACTTGTCCTAATAAAAGAACTCCAAGGGATTTCAATGAACTCAATCTTATGAGGGTGCGCTGGGTATTGAATTCTGCTCCAGGAATGCACACTTTTCATTGATAAATAAGACTGATAAAAGAAGTTTTGTAGAAAAAAGCAGGCCAAAGTTTACCAGACACTGAATTAGCAATCCAGGACTCTCAGGTTTTGGAGAGATTTTAGAGGACATATAAGGTAAATGTTGACCTACTGAGGAATTCTATACATATTCCGCTATACTATGAAGTCTGAAATAATTGGAGATAGAGACTTATCTTAGGGCAGAAAGGTTTTAATGATTGAAAGTTCTGAAACTATTGCTCTCTCTTGGGTTTGATGGATATTTGTTTGGCATGTAAAATTTAAAAAGGTACCTATTTGAAAACCTCATAATTAAGGGTGCAACTTGGGGAGACTTGGGTTGAGAGTTTGTTAAAATTTGGTTAAACACAGCCCCAATGCTGTGTAAATTCTTCAAATTGCATGCCTGACTTGCATCCCTACTTATAATACAGTTACGAGGTAAGCTTTGAGAGAATGCAGAATTTTCAGAATAGAAAGTGATGCAAGAACCAATGAGTCAAATCCAGAACTATCTATTTTTTATGTGTTTAATATGATAATAGGGAATATTGCTGTAAATCTTCAGTATCTGTTTTTGGTCTTGGATCATTAGTAGTTTTCTTTTTTGCATTAGGAGTTAGTTTTCCTAATTGCTATAGTTTGTTTTCCTAACCGGATTAAGAATTACTTTAGTAAATTGGAATTATATCCGTAAGTGTCATAGTCATAAAGCAGGATTTGTCTTACCTTTGTCCTAATAAGTCTCAGTCCTAGTCTGTCAACTAGGACTTGTCCTATTCCAAGTTAGTTTGTGAATGGTATTTCTTAGGGCTGGGTCATCCTCACTTCCTTGCCTATAAATATATGTAAGGCCTAAGTGTTTTTTTTTTTTTGATAAATGTAAGGCCCTAAGTGTTGTCCATTAAACATTAATGTTTGCTCTAATTATGAAGTTGGAAAGACTTCAGATTTGGTGACTGTTTTTTATCAATAACAATAAAATTTTACTAAAGAAATGTGAAGAAGCTCAATGTAAGAAATCACTTTTAGAGATAAAAAGTCTTATTTCTACCCTTTACGTTTCCTTTTATCTTTCTTACAATTTTTTCCAAGACAAATGTTCCCTTTCCACTTTGCCAAAGAATCCACCAAGCTGTTAGCCGCTCTTGAAATCCATACAACCTTCACTTCCATGTATCTAGTTAGCCACCTGAACCTTATTTTCTTCATTCCTGTAGCACCACAGACCAGCCTCTCCCTTCTGCAGCCACCCAGCTACCAACTTTGAGTCTCCTTCAATGATCAGATTTTCACATTCATCTCTTTCGCCCTCTGCACCCCACACCAATCAGACCTGAAAGCAAGGCAACAATATCACCTTCCTCATTTCTAAAGGCTCCCCCGACACCTGACTTCCCTGGGTTACCCTACCACTTCCATCAAAATTGAGTTTCAAGAGCCCCCTATCAGGTGGCGTCCAACTTCTAAAGGCTAGTTTTTTTAGAGGATGTGCTTGCCGCTTCTCTCCACTTTCTGATGATGTCATCTGTTGAGAAGGAATTTTTTTGCCAGTGTTCATTCCTTTTTTTGAAAGGTATTCCAAATTTACTGACAGTATTGATTCCTTCAAGATGGTATTAGGTGTCAAATTCTAATAGTGCCTCTAGGTGTTCTCCTAGAGATGATCTTTAGACATACTGAAGAGTCAAACATTTAAAATTGTTGGTGAATTGCTTGTGTTTTAAGTCAGAATACTGAAGAGAAAAAATCTCTAGTCTATCTCTGATGCAAATATGAAAGCAAGGAAAACCTACGGAAGAATAAATCAAGAGTTATTAAACCAGCGGAAATTGCACAATTTTTGGGATATTAGATTTAGTACTTTTTTAGAGTTATTAAAATTTATTTTCTGATTTTCTGGTTTCTTAGAAATAGAGACCACCAGCACCTAATTTTGTGAAACTAACTTTTGATGAAGTTTTATGGGAAATGAAGGGCAGGCTGGTTTAGGGGGTGTATTTCGAGGTACAGAAGGTGAGGTACTAGCACTTTATTTGGGTCCTGTAGAGCAAGAGGATCCACTGACAGCGGAATTAATGGACCTGCTTCAAGGGCTGAAACCTGCAAAACAGTTTGGTTTTCAAAGGTTAGAAGTGGAAGGGGACTCTCAGGTGGTGATTT